CATCCGCAAATACGATTAACATCGTTCGGTGAAAGCGTGCGCAAATACGGCGACACGTTTAATGAACTGTCCTTAATTTCCTGTTGCCGGCAGATGCGTCCATTAGACTCGAGATATTGACTTTGCTCGAGTACGATCAGCGGCTCTCCGTTATCTGTGCCGCGGGAAATTGTGTCGATCCACTCGAGTTTTTTGCCTAATCGTCCGATCGACCTAGCCGGAATTTTCGTAAACTGTGTTTCGAACGGTAGAACGGGGCGCAGCTGTTGCCGCGCGCACAGTCCAATATGAAAGTAGAACGCGAGTGGTTTGGCCACGGTGTGCCACTGTGCGCTTCCCGGAATCGCGGCGTGTTATTTCAGCGGAGCGAGGGTGCATTTCGGCTGCGCTCTAAATAATTCACCGATCGACGAATGCTATTGATTTTCTGTTTCGCGTCCCTTGTATATTGACATACATTTGGCACAAGGGTCTCGCCCTCGGAGTGTCGTCTACTCCATCGCCGGCTTTCAGCGAAACTGCAACCGCTGCAGATCGATATACCACCCTCCCCCGCTCGCGTTCGATTCACGCTGCGCTGTTAACCGGAAGGGAAAATATCTCGTGCGGCGAAATGCACCGGGACTCTCTGTTGCGGCCTTTCTGCGACGCTCGTTAACGAGAGAAGACGAGCCCCGACTGGAAATCTTGCGGCAATTAGCTCGCCCGAGGACGCACGCGTCGCTCGCGCAACCGATGGGGCGTCTGCATCCCCGAAACCGACAAAAGCTTCTGCGAATGCATCCGACAATAATCTGTTCGCGGATATATGCTTTCGCGTCGAGAAACGTTCTTCGCTTCTGGGACGCGATAAAACTTTCACAATTTCCCGCAGACATTGCGGAAAGGCTAGGCGATTAAAAGCGTAACGACCGAAAGATCGCACGCTTTGGGGGAGCTTCGAAAGGACAAAGCGTTATAAAAGGCCACCATTTTCCAGGAGCGGAGGACGCCGAGACCAGTGTCCTTTCGCCAGACTATCCGCGAATCGATATTTCACCTACCTACCTACCTACTGTATTCGGGTTACTGGTCGGCGAAGGTCCTGCCAGGAAGTTTCCGCAGCGGAGGACGTAATGTGACTCCTTGGTTACGTAACTCGCGAAATGCTAGGGAAGCGCTGCTCATTATCTGATAAGCAGATACAATTACCTTGGAATATTCATTTGTCTCGGCGTCGTAGAGCGTTGCCGCGCGCCCGACGGAAAGCAGTTCGAAATTGAATAAAAACCCAAGCACCGAGATTACTGTTCCGAGCGGGGAAAGTACAGGATCAAAGAAAAAGAGAAATCTCGGGCGAACACAAAAACCGGAAGAGACGAGGGTGCTCCAGTCCCGGGAAGCAACCGGCTACGTGTCCAATTAGCTTCCATCAATTACGCTCGCCGCGCTTGTAACAAAATCCGGAAAACGAGCCCACGCGGATTTTCTGCGAGCGGACTAACAAACGTGCTTATCAGCGGGACAAGTTGAAAGCGACAAAATGAGAACGCCGCGCCGGAAGGATTACGGCCATCGGACACCGTAGCAGCTAAACGGATTGATGTCTTATGCAATCATCGCATCCTCTGCCCGGCAAAGCGTCGAATAAGACTGGCGGCAGCGGGGCGAGGTTCGCGAAACCCTCGAATCGAGTATGGTTTTTCGTGGTCGGTGATAAGGTATCGGCTAATGACGAACTGGGATAATCATTCGATAAAGAACCCGAACGAGCACTGCGGAATATTCGAGGATCGCCGCGTCGATCGACCAGCGATCGATGAAACAAGCATACGACGACATTATACAATGGCGTCCCAAAAATGTCTCGCAATCTCCCGAAAGTGGCGGTTTTCTCAGGTCATTTGAAGCAACTTTTACCTTTACAAAAATGTTCTCCGAGGCACCGTTAACGAGTTATTAACGAAAAACAGCGACCAATGAGAGGCGAGCTCAGCTGGCGCGAGGCGACCGAGCCAATGTGCGGAACTGGGCTTCGTGCGCTGGTTGGCTGGGCCGCCTCGCGTCAGCCGTACTCGATTCTTATTGGTCACGGTTTTTCGTTAATAACTCCTTAACGGTGCCACGGANGCGGATTTTCTGCGAGCGGACTAACAAACGTGCTTATCAGCGGGACAAGTTGAAAGCGACAAAATGAGAACGCCGCGCCGGAAGGATTACGGCCATCGGACACCGTAGCAGCTAAACGGATTGATGTCTTATGCAATCATCGCATCCTCTGCCCGGCAAAGCGTCGAATAAGACTGGCGGCAGCGGGGCGAGGTTCGCGAAACCCTCGAATCGAGTATGGTTTTTCGTGGTCGGTGATAAGGTATCGGCTAATGACGAACTGGGATAATCATTCGATAAAGAACCCGAACGAGCACTGCGGAATATTCGAGGATCGCCGCGTCGATCGACCAGCGATCGATGAAACAAGCATACGACGACATTATACAATGGCGTCCCAAAAATGTCTCGCAATCTCCCGAAAGTGGCGGTTTTCTCAGGTCATTTGAAGCAACTTTTACCTTTACAAAAATGTTCTCCGAGGCACCGTTAACGAGTTATTAACGAAAAACAGCGACCAATGAGAGGCGAGCTCAGCTGGCGCGAGGCGACCGAGCCAATGTGCGGAACTGGGCTTCGTGCGCTGGTTGGCTGGGCCGCCTCGCGTCAGCCGTACTCGATTCTTATTGGTCACGGTTTTTCGTTAATAACTCCTTAACGGTGCCACGGAGAACATTTTTGTAAAGGAAGAAGTTGCTTCAAATGATCTGAGGAACCTACCATTCCCGGATTACGAGACATTTCTGGGATGTATGTAGATTATGTAGACTAGACTAAACTAGATTATGAAGAGATCGGAGGACGTGTTCCGTTAAATAAAAGCCTGACGAATTAAGAGAATGTTATGGCTGCGTTCGTGCGCCGATGGAAAGCACAAGCCGGCCGTGGTAGAAACGCAAGCTGTTTCTAATCAGGTATATATTTAGTTGGACGATATCCCTCCAGGCTATTTTCGTGCGGCCGTAGATCTTGCATCGGGTTCACCCGATCCATTCTTCTCCTCCTCCTCCGCGAAACACCCTTGATAACAGCTCGCACGTAAGACTAATTATCTCTTTAGCAACGGCGGCGTTACTTAAGATCCAGGAAAAAACGAGGCAATTGAGCGAGATAACCGGGAACACGAAAACACTCTTCCCGATTCCCGAGACCTCCGCGGATCGGCGGTGTAAGCCGTCGCGGGAACGGCCGCTCCGTGCGACCCGTTATCGGCTAATTAATGCATAACGAGACGAGACCGTGGATGGGCTCGTCCGCGACGGGTCACGTTCGCGAAAGCAGTCGAGATATGTGTATTCCGCACAGCCGGGGCGATGTCATCGGGTCGGGAACCAATACGCGACGTCTCGGGACTCGGGAGGTCGTATAAATTTCATGTCACCAGCAGACGTTTGCCTTGAGGTGCGGATGCCGATACCGGACAGGGTGGCGGATCGCAAACCGTTAGCTCGTTATCGTCGATGGAATTCCGGAGCCGATTCGGAAAGTTCGACTTTGGTCGTAACTTTCTCGGTGCTCGGTTTCTTGCGCAATGCTGCCCGGATCACGGCTCGGCGAGCCCGCGTTCAACAATGAGAGGAACGAATTTTGTCGCGAACTCGATTACAGAGTCGCTAATTACGTTGTGCGGCCGAAAGGAATTGAAAAGTCGGCGGGGGCAGCGATCCCGGGGGGATCTCGAAGCGGGTCTAACTTCTAAAGGAGTAGTTTCACCCCGACGAACCAAACGGAGCCCCAAGCTGCTAAACTTCTCGCCGCGAAACGTTGAATTTACAATCGATTCCCTCGTAGACCGAAACTCGGTCTCGTGTGACGTAAACATAATCACAACATATGACCATAGCCGCGGTCCGCTGCATGCAGTTACGAGATCAACATGCATCGAGAAGGGAATCCAACACCATGCAGGCCTTATCTTCTTTCAGATAGCGCTGGTATGCGTTACAGGAGCTTATAGACGCCGCCGAGAAATACCTAGGAATCAAAGACTTTATTTACGCAACCGAAAAGTTCTCGCGTGCTGCCGCTGCGCTGGCCCGAAGGCAATCCAGGCGAAACTTTATCTTGCCGATTTTTCCAGCGCCGATCTTCCACTACGGTGTTCGTACTCCGTAGCGTCGAGTTTCGTGACCCCTTTACCGCCTCGTTTCTGCCCCCGCCAGGAAGGCAACGGCGAGTCGTCGGCCAATCGACGCGCACCCGAATAGCCTCCGCCGCTCCCGAAGGACTCGGCGTCTTCGAAACCGCGCGACCTTATCGAACAGAATTCTACGAGCGGCCATCAAATCTGTAACGGCTTAGCAAATTGCAGAACGCATTGCCGATTTATTTGCAGACCCCTCGGCGATTTGGGACAAAGACTAACCTGACTCGGACCGTTCGTCGGCACGATAAAATGAAATTTATTGGGCTATTGCAAACGAGGGTGGGAGGGCTCTGATCTTCAAATCTATCTTAGGATCAGTCGCGAAACAATGCAATGTGTTCGCAGACGTTTCGATACGTAACATTTTCAAGAAAGATCGTGCCTCCGTGCCTGCTAGAATACGTGAAAACGTGCGACAAAAGAAGAAGTTTCGAGCTTCGGAAATGAGTTCAGGTTTATTGTATCGCGATTCGTTTTTGCGAAGTCGAACAATTCGAGGAATCGGAGCGGAGAGAAGCAGGTATTTTACCGATTTTTTTGCGCGGAGAGATAAACAATTGGCCGTCGATCCCGATCGACAGCAGCTGTCACGAAGCTGTCGCTCGCAGGATCTCGACCGCGCGCAATCACATCGACGACGGCCGTGAAAAGTAAACGTCAGAGAAGCCGCGCGGCTTGACAATCGGAACCCGTGCCGTGGCATGGATCCCCGCGCCGCGCCGCGCCGGGCCGGGCCGGGCCGGGCCGCGCCGGTCTCGATTGGCCGGCGCTCCGTCAGTCTGCGATCGGCAGTCGAGCCGATGATATCGCGCGTGCTCGATAGCCGATAGAATCGCGACTAAGTGCTCCAAATCGAACCGAACGAGAATCGCGCGACCATTGGATTTTAAACATCTACGTGGCTCTTTACCCCGATAATTTCTGTTTATCTTATCGGCGGAGAGAAAGGGAAGAGAGGTGTACCCGATTTTACGACGCTGGAGTGTTACGCAACGACGCAACAGCGACCAGCAGGGACAATGAAGTCGAAGACGAGCGAGAGTTTTATAGCGAGTGAAAGTAACGGGGTCAAGAGGGACCAGGAACTCAAGCAGAAAGTGCTGAAGAAGGGTAAGAGTTCGGTCGAGAGCCGACTTCGCTCTTGATTGACATGCATCTAATCGGGATGCATTCGATCGGCCGAGACTTCTCTCGCGGTGTATCGCCGGTCGAATAAGAAGGCTGGCTCGAGTTTCACGCGGCTCGTTTGCTAATGGGCTCGTCAGGCGTGTCGTAACCGATCGTTGACTGTAATTAATGCAGGAATTAATTGTTGCATGTTTGTTTCGAGTAAGAGTTGTCCGGGCGGTAGCAGCGGTGAGTCATTTGTAATCAAGCATCAAGGTCGATTTACGGTGTTCCTCGTTAAGGTGTGCATTAGAAACGTCTTCCAGAAGACGGCGTTCCGAGCATCTGAAATTAAAACAGGCCAGCCTGGATCGTTTTTTCTAATTCGACGAATTCGTCACGGACTCGTTGGGTCCTCGGCCGAACGGCTGAACCGCTCTCGATCCGAATAACGAAAACATCGTCTCGACAGCATTCGGCGCCTCGATCGCGAAATTTTTGCATCGGGATCGCAGATTACAGTTACGCGGAACTATCGCCGCGCGAAAGTGGAGCTAGAGTCCATCGTTCGCGGGAACGAGTTGTATCGATAACGTGAAAATGCATGTAACGCGGCGTGACATCATCCGCTCGATGATAGAATGCGTGTTTTTTTTTTTTCAAAGCGATAGGTACCGTATCGCGTTTGAAATCGACGGATCAGATGGCGGGGATCCGATTGGATCGAGTCATTCGCAGAAGGCCAGGTAGTCCGATCGAAGAAGAAGATTACGGCGAGTCCGGATTAGAAGAAGAGAGGCGAATTTCGCGCGGACAGAAAATTGTTGACGATCGGCCCGGCCCCGCTCGAATGCAGCCTCGCGATTCAGCCGGTCGACGAAGCGAGTCAATTAACGGGCCATTAGAGCGATAATGAACGCTTGTTCGCAGGTTTTTCTGCATCGCGGCCTTTGCAATCGTTGCGATATTGTTTCGCTAATCGACAACGCCTTGGCCGGGACGCACGGGTACGCCGTGTACAGAGAAGCTACTTTGTAATTCAATTCTTCGTTCATTTCCCGTGGGCTACCGTTCGCGACGCCCGATACATTATTAAATAGTTGTAACACTATTGTAACGCGGTTAATTACAGACAAAAGCCCCGTTGCATCCTGTCGCATACGCAACAACGCTCGATTATGCGGCGGCCGGGCTTGCGCAAAAACAAATTGCACGGGATACTACGATTCGTCGTCCTCCGCGCAGCTCAGCTATTCTTCGGGTTTCTCGTTTTTCTCGCGCGGAAACTCTTCCTGGACGCGCGACGTCGATCCTCGTGCCGTGTAACGAGCAAGGTGGCGCGCGGAACGGTTCTTATCGCCACGTAATAGCCCATTTATTACACTTTTCTCATGGCATACCGTTGATACTCTCAGATACAGCCTGCAAAAATACTGATAAGCTCGGAATGAGCTATTAGCAGACCGGAGCGCAGATAACGCCGGGCAGCCAGAAACTCGGTCAATTCTTTCGAGAACTCCGTTCGGCGCGGATTTCGCGACAAATATTTTGTTCGGCCCATCGCGAGACGTCTCCGCCGTCGCGATAATTGAATTTACTGCGGCCGAAAAGATTACCGTGAATATCGTGTGTTTTCGGAGGATCGGCTTGCCGAACGGTGTGTACGGGCGGTGTGTTCGAGCGAAATCGTTCATTATCGCGTCGACAACGCGTGCCCCGCGTCCAGACATTTTGGTAAGCAACCAGCGTTTCGCGATAGCTTATCGTCGTCCGGTTGATAAATAGATTTATTTGCACGACGTAATCGAACCGCGCGCGGCATGTGTTCGCGCCGGCCGACTCGCGTCCCGGTGTTAATTCTGTGAATGCTCTTCGCCGAATATTTACTCCGAGGCATTTCGCGGTGGCACGAAACGGAAGACCAAAGAAAAAAACTTGACTTGTCAACCGTCCGCGTCGGACACATTCAATCGGGCCTCGATATATCTATGACCCAGAGTGCATCGGGAGAAAGAGCCCGGCCGCTTGGGGGTCGTCGCGTTTGACCCCACTTTGCGACATCCTATTTAGACCACTTATGAATCATATTAACATACCGAGGCGGAGAGGAACGTTATGTGGAGCGAGCGGTTCGATGATGGATCGCTGTTACGGAGACTCGCGCGCGACACCCTCTCAAACCGGTTCACTTTTACGGAACGGAGGAATGCGGACGGTTTTCAGCGGTTTTCCTCTTTAAGCTTCCGCCCTGAACCGCAGCCCAGGAATTACATCCCGTCGCCGCCTCGAAACTTATTTCTGCCCACGTATTCTCGATGCACCGTAACGCGGTCTGCGCTTAATCGTCAACTACTGCTGTCCCAAAACGATACAATTGCGGATTCTAAATGCAGTGGCTCTTGGAAATCTTCGCATACGAAATTTCCGAGTTTCCACGAATCGTCGTCGTTTGAACCGTTGCAGTTTCGTATAAACGAGTCGCTCGACGATGTGCACGTACTCATTTTGAAGCTCGAATCTTCTACTTTTACTGTGGACCGTTAATTTTCGCGCGACACAATGGTGCATGATACAGCTGGCGGTAAACTGGTGTCGATTCTATCGGAATCTGCGCATCCTGACGCAGACATTCGTAAAAGTACACAGGTGTCGAGTCAATTTTTCTTCACCGGGAACCGTTTTCTGCGAACGTAAAGTTACGTCGAGCTTCAAAGACAGTTCTAGTTCTGAGAATTAGGTGAAGATTAGATTAGGCCGCTCGAAACGAGTGCAACGAGGCAAACTGTTAATAAACGATGCAAACGGCGGGTCGCGCGTCCGCTGAACCGGGGAATTAATAACGAGGAATTTCAGCGGGAATTTTAGGTAACCTGGAAACACGGTTTCGCGACATCCCATTTAGACGGACTTACGAATCGTGTTAACGCGCGGCGAGGGTACACGTAGGATGTAGGACAAACTGCGTGTGGGTGAACAAGCCAGTGACGCAACAGTCGCCTTTCTTTTTTTCTCTCCGCGAACCCTACGTACGATTTCCTGGCAAATAAATCGTTCGATAGTTTGGACGGTTGAATCACGTTAGCCGCGGTTCGCGCGGAGGTTGTCAGGAACAAATCAAGACTCGAGGCGTAAGTGGCATCGTAGGTGTTGCGGGTTACCAGATTGTCGACGTTCCCGCCATATCATCGGTCATTAAAAATTCTGAGCGCCTCCTACGATGCCCCGTACCGGTTTACACGCGATTACCGCGTGGTGAATTCTGGGCCAGGAATTTCACGGAGTTTGTTCACCCCGCCCGGCCCCCATTTTGCATCCATCCATGATCTTCGATCTTCGACAAAAGAGACAGCTAATTACAAAGTATCCAATTAACGCTAGATTTACGGAGCACAAAAAACAGCTGTTCTATATTAGTTTATAAAAGTAACGATAAAACATTTATTCTGATTTTTAACAAGTGTTATTGTAACATTTGCCGTAAGTAACATATAAATTGAACAAATAACTCATAAATGTATCTTTACGATATGAATAATCGTAAATTAAAAAATTAGTGAAATCTAGCATTAATTCGCATTAGCAATTAGTTTTTCATTTCTAACTCTTACATATGAGAGTTAGAACATGGCGTTTGCGTGCTCTCAGACGCAACTGTAATCGTCTCTTGGTCAGAATTTGCTGCTCAGAAATTTCCTCAACCTCTCGTCTCACTCTGACGTTAACCGTTTGGTCGAAGACCGCGAGAAAGTATGGAAAACGCACGCTTAAAGCAACAGCTCGCAGACACGATAAAGACGTCTGGAAATTGAACAGACGGTGTCCGCGCGANTGCGACATCCTATTTAGACCACTTATGAATCATATTAACATACCGAGGCGGAGAGGAACGTTATGTGGAGCGAGCGGTTCGATGATGGATCGCTGTTACGGAGACTCGCGCGCGACACCCTCTCAAACCGGTTCACTTTTACGGAACGGAGGAATGCGGACGGTTTTCAGCGGTTTTCCTCTTTAAGCTTCCGCCCTGAACCGCAGCCCAGGAATTACATCCCGTCGCCGCCTCGAAACTTATTTCTGCCCACGTATTCTCGATGCACCGTAACGCGGTCTGCGCTTAATCGTCAACTACTGCTGTCCCAAAACGATACAATTGCGGATTCTAAATGCAGTGGCTCTTGGAAATCTTCGCATACGAAATTTCCGAGTTTCCACGAATCGTCGTCGTTTGAACCGTTGCAGTTTCGTATAAACGAGTCGCTCGACGATGTGCACGTACTCATTTTGAAGCTCGAATCTTCTACTTTTACTGTGGACCGTTAATTTTCGCGCGACACAATGGTGCATGATACAGCTGGCGGTAAACTGGTGTCGATTCTATCGGAATCTGCGCATCCTGACGCAGACATTCGTAAAAGTACACAGGTGTCGAGTCAATTTTTCTTCACCGGGAACCGTTTTCTGCGAACGTAAAGTTACGTCGAGCTTCAAAGACAGTTCTAGTTCTGAGAATTAGGTGAAGATTAGATTAGGCCGCTCGAAACGAGTGCAACGAGGCAAACTGTTAATAAACGATGCAAACGGCGGGTCGCGCGTCCGCTGAACCGGGGAATTAATAACGAGGAATTTCAGCGGGAATTTTAGGTAACCTGGAAACACGGTTTCGCGACATCCCATTTAGACGGACTTACGAATCGTGTTAACGCGCGGCGAGGGTACACGTAGGATGTAGGACAAACTGCGTGTGGGTGAACAAGCCAGTGACGCAACAGTCGCCTTTCTTTTTTTCTCTCCGCGAACCCTACGTACGATTTCCTGGCAAATAAATCGTTCGATAGTTTGGACGGTTGAATCACGTTAGCCGCGGTTCGCGCGGAGGTTGTCAGGAACAAATCAAGACTCGAGGCGTAAGTGGCATCGTAGGTGTTGCGGGTTACCAGATTGTCGACGTTCCCGCCATATCATCGGTCATTAAAAATTCTGAGCGCCTCCTACGATGCCCCGTA